CTAGTGGGCTGACGCGGGCCTGGGAAGTGGCCAGGGGAGATCGGGCCCCAATATATAGTGGACAAGACCCAGACACCCTCTCCCCTCCGCCCTCTGCTGCGTTCTTTATAATGTTATTAGGCCATTCTCTCTTCTCACTTTTCAGCAGGACTGACCAAAGGCCTACACTATTTGCCTTTACGTCAGGCTTTCTTATGACTCCCCTAATGCCTTCCCAACCTCGTTGGTTGCTGTGTTCCTTACCACCTAAGGCATTTCAGAGCCATCAGCTGACGCATCTGAAATCTCACGCTTGGCGTTGACCCAATACGATAACCTGAATTTCCACCTGTTCACAACCATGTATCACCCCTTACCCCTCAGGCTCACGAACCCTAAGCCATCTGCTGAGGGCTTAAATTTTCTTTTTCTTTTTCTTTTTTTTTTTTTTTTTGAGATCGGAGTCTCATTCTAGCGTCCCAGGCTGGAGTTGCCAGTGGCGTGACCTGCGGCTGGCTCACTGCAACCTCCGCCTCACGGGTTCAAGAAATTCTCATGCCTCAGCCTCTCGAGCAGCTGGAATTACAGGCACGTGCCATGACACCTGGCTAATTTTTGTACTTTTAGTAGAGACGGTTTCACCACGTTGTCCAGGTTGGTCTCGAACTCCTGGCCTCAAGTGATCTGCCCGCCTCGGCCTCCCAAAGTGCTGGGATTACAGGCATAAGCCACTGTGCCCGGCCTATGCTTAAATATTCTAGAAGTAGAAGCACTCAGACTTTTAAAACTATGAGTCTCTTCAGCAAAACTGAAAAAAAAAAAAAGATTAATTTCCTATCCTAATCCCTCCTACTTATACTTCCCCAAAAAACAAGCTTTACTGGAATTAATGGAAAATATATGTCAATCTTAGGATAATATGTCTTTTGGTGTTTTTCTTTAAAGAATTTATCATACAGAAATTCTTAATTTGTGCCAGAAAAAGAAATTATTATCATACTGCATATAGATCATATGTACATGAATATGATGCTGTACTGTCCTCAGGCAAGCTGGAAAATGCTCAGAGGGTACAGAACGTGGAATCTAGATTCTTCTTTTTTTTTCTGTTCAATTAGTTTTCTTTAATGGAGTCTAGATTCTCAAGTGAGAAGATATCAAAGCAGTTTGTCTTCAAAGAAGAGCATTTGGGGGTCCCCTAGCTCTGGGTTGAGGGAAAGACCTAGAGATATGTAGTAGAAGCCCGAAACAAAAATAAGACAAATTTCAAATTTATTGAACAGAAAATGCAGATGGGCCTTAAAAAAAAAAAAAAAAAAAGGCAGGGGGAGCCAAGAATAAGACTACCCCAAAACTTTAAAAACTAAATTGTGGAGGGCCGGGCGTGGTGGCTCAAGCCTGTAATCCCAGCACTTTGGGAGGCCGAGACGGGCGGATCACGAGGTCAGGAGATCGAGACCATCCGGCTAGACCCGGCGAAACCGCCAAGATCTTACCTAAAAAATACAAAAATGCCGAGGGCAAAGTGGGGGCGCTGTAGCGCGCGTACTGTAGGGAGGCTGAGGCAGGAGAATGGCGTGAACCGGAGGCGGCGGAGCTTGCGTGAGCTGGAGATCGCGCACTTCAGCCAGCCTGGTGCGACAGAGAGAGATTCCGTCTCAAAAAAAAAGAGAAACTAAAACTAATTGTGGATATTTGTTTAGCCTTTCTTGTTCTGCCCGGGAAATTTAGGGTTCTTCGTAGGTGGAAGTAGTGTGGTACTTGGCATATGGCCTACTATAATATGGCTATGACATCTCGATGAAATGCTGGATTTTATTATCGTCGCTTGCCTAAAGCTGGTTTAGAATGCTTTCACCAACTTCTTTTAGAGCGCAGTCTTAGGCACCGCAGGGCAGTATCTCGAGCCCAGTGAATCCCACATTGGGAGGTAATGCGGGCCCAGATCGTTGAATCAAGGAGTCAGAAGGTGAAAGCCCATGTACAAATAAAAAATTAGCCAGGCATAGGTGGGCATGTGTCTGTGGTCAGCTACTCAGAGGCTGACCGGTGGGACGATGCACTTGAGCCTGGGACAGCTCGCGGCTGCAGGTTGCAAGTAGCACCCTGCCTCCAGCTTGGGTTGGACAGAGCGAGGAGTCGTTCAAATTAAAATTAATTTTAAAAGCTAGTTCTATGCGTGCCGGCACATGGCTGTTACCAACACTTTGCGAAGCCAAAGGCGAGAGAGGATGATCTGAGTCGCGAGGGTTCAAGACAGGCTAACCGAAACAAGATGGTGAAGCCTGTTCTTAATTAAAATAAGAATAAAAAAAAATTTAAAAATTAGCGGGACGTGGGTGGCTCAACCCCCTGTAGCCCTCAGACTTGGGAGAGGAGCAGGAGAATCGCTTGAACAGTAAGGAGAGGTTGCAGTGGGAGCCAAGATCACGCACCTGCACCGTAGCGGGCAACAGAATGAGGATTCGTTTGAAAAAAAAAAAAAGTTTTATGAGTGGAAGAATTTCTCTAAGGATTTTAGTCCCTGGAGTCAGACTCTCCCCCGGCGTCTTAGTCGCCCGATGCCCAGCCTGGTTCCCTCAACCACCAAGAATTTATGACCAACTGCCAGAAGCTTTGTGTTATGCCGCCATCCTCCCTGATCCTGAGCACCTTCCAAAGCCTCACTCTATTGCTCATGGATATACTGGGTTGTTATCTGCTGACTTGGTTGTTTTCTCCTTGTGATGTAAACTTAACAGAGAGATGAGCTAACACCCTAACTAACCAGAAGAGTAACTCCTTTGATTGTTAAGGATGAACATAACTCATCTGTTTTCTTCCTTACCATTCTCGCCCACCTTCAGTTGCAGATACGGTGTTATGAAGAGGTTCTAATGAGTTTATTCCAATGATGATTCAAAAATCCTGTTATCCATCCCCCAGCCCTGGAGGGTGAGAGGACAGTTGAGGAGGAACTGGTCAAGGCATGTTCCCTAAAACTAGAGCACATATCTTTCCAGTTAGCAAGTGGCTGTCTAATGCAAGGAACATCCTGCAATCCTACGAAAGAGGATGCAAAAGATATGTAGGATACCCTTTATATATGTAAAGGAGGAGGAGGTCAAAACATATTTCCTGCCTTCTAGGTCCTTACAACAGGGCTAGATTTTCTTGCAGGGTCTGTGAAAGGTCTAAAACTCAGGACTTTCACTTATGGGAGAGAGAAAAGTTTCAAGGTAGGGAGAGAGTTTTTGTTTTGTGTTCTAAGAAATTGGGAACTATATCCTTCACCTTGTTTCACCTTCCCTGCAGAATCAGTGGGGGAGTCCTTTGAAAAATAAGTGGGTAGAGTTTCTTGTCCAATTGGCTTCCCCTTAGGCACAGTACTAGGTAAACCATCATTCTCTCCTTAGGCACACTATTATTCTGTTCGCCATTTCACAATGTCTGTCTGGATGTATAAAAGCCCTCTCAACGGGCTCCCTAAAGCGTCTGCCAGTAGTGGCTCCCACCCTCTTTCCTCAACACTCCCAATCCACCGCAGCCCAGAGCACTGTGTCTGGTTATCTAACCATCTGACTCCCCCGTATACTACATTCTTGAGCTGTTTTTCACCCCCCTATTTGCTAGCCCTGGGCCGTACATAGGGTGGGCCCCTATATTTTGTTAAACTGGAGTGATTCTACGCAAATGCACGCTCACCCTGCAGAGAATTGTATGCCTTATCTTCAGCACTAAACTAAAATCTAATCAAGGAAGTCCGGATCCCATAGGATTCTTGCTACTCTCCAGTTCGGTTTATTTTAAGCCCAACAGCCCTAGCTTCACGTCCCTCCTTCGCAGCCTTCTTTCCTTCCCTCCTGCCGGATGCGCCCAGCAGCCGTTGAGCCCAAGCCCCGCGGATCTGGAAGGAGACCCCCGCATCGGGGAAAAGGGAGTGAACTTGGGCGCAAAACCCGCCCGGCAACTCGTGACGTTATCTCGCCCCGCGCTCGGATGGACTGTACTCACTCCACGCTGGTTGAGATGCTCTTCAAGTCCTTTGTAACCCAGATTGGAGCCTGAGGGGACCTCTCGTGGACGCCCACAGAAATGCACTCGAGAGGAACATAAAAGCATCACACTTCAGCGCTAGAAAGCAAGCACCGGGAACCCATACAGGCTCCTCCCAGCTCCTTCCTTGAAGCTCCTCC